CTGAAGGGAAGCTAGGGGCCATAGTCTCAGGGGTTCTACCAGGCTCTATCAGACCAGCCTGGTCCCTTCTTCTTTTTTTTTTTTTTAAAATGATTTTGAGTTTTGTTCTACAGTGTTCTCCCACTCTATCCAGGATCTCCTACACAGATCCCCCTCACAGTGGCTGAGAGTGGTAGCTGGGCACTTTTTAGTTCTTCTGGTCTCAGTCACATAGGCTAAGGATCACATGGTGTACCAGTCACTTGGACTAATTGCTTCCATGAGTCTTTGGTTTCCTTCATTCTTCTTTGCTCTGGATGAGGAGAGACCCATCACCGCATCTAGATGGGCATCAAGATGACTGCTTGCAAACTTTTAAGATCCTAGTCACTACTTGCCAAAGTAGAATGTTCAGTAATGTTTTTGTGTAGTATGTTATGCCCATTGAGCTTTATGTCCCTTGTGACCACGGTCCTGAGTCCACAGGTCCAAATTACTTGCTCCCTCCTGGCAGCTAGCTATGGTTAAGAAGTGACTACAACCTTGTCAGCTCTACTATATACCTGGAAATTCTTACAGAACATACAAATGCACTTGTAGAAACACAGATTCCACCATTATTCTTTAAAGAGATGGAAAAACTAATCACCAACTTAATATGCAAAGGAAAGAGACCCTGGATAATGAAAGTACTACTAAAGAAGAACAAAGTAGGAGGCCTCATACTCCCTCCTCCTATCTCAAAACCTACCATATAGCCATGGTAGTCATCAAAGCAGCCTGGTACTGGTACAATGACAGACACAGACCAATGGAACTGAACTGACAATCCAGAGGTAAATCCATCCACCTATGGATAGGTGATATTTGACAAAGGGCCAAAATCCATTAAATGGGGGAAGAGCTAGTCTTTTTAACAGATGATGCTGGCAAAATGGGATATCCATTTGCAGAAAAACAAAACAAGACCCCTATCTCTCATCATATACAGAAACTAACCTGAGATGGGTCCAAGATCTAAATGGAAAACTTACAAGTAGAAAGATCATCAAAGAAAAAACAGGGGCAAACATAGAAGACCTAAATTATGGTTTAAGTATCTATCAAATTAAAAAGTCACAAACAGCAGAACATAAATTACATGACTAGGGGGACCCTGGTAAAATTTAAACACTTACATGCATCATTAGTTTTCTCTAAAAGAGTACAAAGAGAACCTACAGAGAAAAATTTTGGCAATGACATATCTGACTAAGGAGTAATCTATACAATTTATGTAAAACTTCATCAGCCCAATGACAAAAAACAAACAATCCAATTAAAAAGCAGGCAGAGGACATGAACAGACACATCACCAAAGAAGATAATCAGGTGGCCAAAAATACCTGAAGAAATGTTTGCTATCATTAGCCATTAAAGAGAGAAAAATCAAACAATGAGATATCATCTCACTCCAGCATTAATAGTAAAGTTCTAAAGAAAAGAAAACAACAAATGCTGGCAAGTATGGAAACTGGAACCCTCATACACTGCTGGTGGGGCTGTAAAATACTGCAACATCTGTGGAAAACAGTATGGTACTTCATTAAAAAGTTGGAAAAACAAATACCGTATGATCCAGCAATCCCAATACTAGAGAAGTAAGAGCTGTGACAAGAACAGATACATATGCACACTCATGTTTATCATAGTAAATGAAGAAAAGACTGAAGTTGTCAAAGATTTCATTTTCCTTGGATCCATGATCAATGCCCATGGAAGCAGCAGTCAAAAAATCAAATGATATACTGCATTGGGCAAATCTTCAGAAGTCCTTTACAAAGTGTTTTAAGAGCAAAGCTATCCCTTTGGAGGCTAAGGTGGGCCATGGTATTTCAATAGCTTCATGTGCATGTGAAAGATGGACAATGAATAATAAGGCAAATTATAGAAAAATTGATGCATTTGAATTGTGGTGTTGGTGAAGAATACTGATTGTATCATGGACTGCTAGAAGAGGGAACAAATCTATTTTACAGGAAGCACAGTTGGAAGGCTCTTTAAGTGAGAATGGCAAGACTTTATTTCACATACTCTGCTATAATGTCAGAAGGGACCAATCCCTGCAGAAGGATTATCTTGCTTGATAAAACAGAGGGTCAGTGAAAAACGGGAAGACCCTGAACGAGGTGGAATGGCACAGGACTGGACAATGTTTTGTTCTGTTGTACACAGGGTTGCTATCAGTTGGAATCAACTTGATGGCACCTAACAACAACATGCTCACTGGAGTATTACTTACAATAGTAAAAAGACGGAAATAATCTAAAGGCCCATCAATTGATGAATGGATAAACAAACTATGTGGAGTATCACACAATCTTAAAAAATAATTATGAATCAGTGAAACACCTCATAACATGTATGAACCTAGAGGACATTATGCCGAGTGAAATCTGTCAACTGCAAAAGGACAAATACTGTATGAGATTACTTTTATAAAAAAAAATTAAGCAAATGTTTACACCCAGAAAGAAGGTTACCTGGGTGGAAGGGGAAAAGGAGGGTAAATCACTAGTAGAGGATAGACACGTATTTACTTGGGTGAAGGGAAAGGCAATATACAAAAGGAGGAGGTCAGTACAACATGATCAAGGCAAAAGCTGGCACTAGGAGGAGAAAAAAAGTTAAAGGCAAATACTATTACCTATTATGTATTAAATACTATTACATACATACTTACACACACACACACACACACACACATATATATAAATAAATAAAATCATGCAGTGATAGTAATAGTATTGATCTACAACTGGATACTTAAGACACAGAAGCTGAATAGCTATGCGAAGATGAATAGAACTATATACATAAATATATATAGGTTTGACAGGATATTTCTACATATGTATTTATATGTGCTGCAAATATTTCCATGAATAGCATACAGGGCGCAAAGTTATGCAAACTTCTCAGCTATAACTACACACCTCAGAGGAGTAAGTCACTGGGCCTGGGTACTAAGGACCACAGTCTTGGGAGACAACAAGGTCAAATGGCATAACACAGTCAGTCCATAAAGGCAATTTCTCCATCCTACTTTGGTGAGTGGTGACCGAGGTCTTAAAAGCTTATGTGTAGCTATTTAAGGTGCTCTACTTGTCCCTTCCTTTCCAGAGCAAAGATGACTGAAGATCAAAGATATAAGAAAATAATCAGTTCAAAGGGCTATTAGCTCACATGAACCCCAGTCTCTAGGACCCTGAGAGCAGAGGAATTAGATGGTACCTAGCTAGCACTGCTGACTGCTCTAAAAGGAATCATATCAGGAAGTCCTGGATAGATGGGAGAAAAATGTAGATCAAAACTCAAAATCATTAAAATGACCAGGCTTACTGTCTGACAGGGATTGATGGAATCACCAAGACAATGGCTCTTAGACTCCCCCTTCAAGCCTAGAACTGAAATCACCACAGTGGCTCAACTTTCAGCCAAACAAGAAACAGACCTATCAAATGAACAGTAAAGATCAGGGAGGAAATGGACAACCAATCATATGAGATCAAAAGGGCAACATATGCTCAGGGATAAAGTTCGGAAGGTAGGAAAGGACACAGAGAGAGGATTAGAAATGGTAAATACAGGAAGAGGTGGAAGAGTTCTGTTATACATTATGTGATACATCAATATCACAAAACAAAATGTACATCAATATCACAAAACAAAATGTATACTAACTGTTGAAAGGAAAACCAATTTGCTCTGTAAATTCTACTCAAATCACAGAAAGTGAAAAAAAGAATTTAAGGAAAAAAAAACAAAAAACAAATAAAAACCTATGGTTAAAAATGGGTTTGTATTACATGAAAGATTAAGAAAACAAGAATCAGCAACATCTGTACAGCTATATGAATAAATGTATCTGGAAACAGTGCTGAATGTAGCATAGTGCTAAGGCACTTGACTGCTAGCCAGAATGCTGGTGGTTCAAACCCACCAGCCACTCCTTGGAAGGAAGATGGGGCAATCTACTTCCGTAGTGATACTGCCTCGGAAACCCAAGGAGGGGTCGCTATGAGTTGAGTCCGACTCGACGGCACATAACAACAAACAACAATTATATACTTTACGATGGACAAAATCAGTTTTTGGGTTATATATAATTTTACCAAAATAAAATGGAAAAGGGGCAGGATGCCCTGGAAACAATAGACAGACACAGTGCACGTCCTTAAAGATACTGAAAAAATACCATTTACAAAGTCTCTTTCTCTCTCGTTGTTTTTACATATAAGAATTCATTATACTTTCAGTACAAAAGAGTTAGATGAGTAATTAGCCTTAAATTTGATGTTTTTCAACTCAACACAATTAGTAATATTAGCCAAAGTTCAAAAATACAGTTATTCAAAAACAGAAGTGTATCAAATGGAAAAAACTATTTAGGTCAATGTTTTTAAAATCATGTAATATAAATTCTCTTCATTCAGATTTTGGGGTATATAGGAAAAAAACACTTCTGATAGAAATACAGGTTACATTATTTAAGGAATCTATTATCTTCACAAAGGACAAGAGAAATGCTACAATATTAAAACAGAAACAAATTATCGTTTACTTTTAACATGATATTCATTGAGAAGTTTCCCAAACATCCGTAAAATTATGTTGGTTTATTAGAGCAGGAAAGCTGATTATTATTATTTCTAGATACCTATACTAAAAGAAGAGGCTAGTAAGAAAAACACCTATGAGTTAGCACACAGTTCACCAAGCTTCCCCAGTGAGCCTATCCTCTACTCTACAGCAGTACTTTTCAAACTTTTTCCCAGACACAGGAATGCCTGAACAGCTGCTCCAGTGATGGTGAGCTCATGGGAATGAAGCACAGGGGTTCCCAACTTGCCTGCTTCAATCAAAGCAGCTTTACTTTAACTAGAACAATGTGCAATTATAAATGTTGAGATTCTGTAAGATTTCAGCTTAATGAAAATGTTTTAAAAAATCTTATCTACTACAGTAGAAAATATTCATACCTATACAAGGCTTAACATGCTGAAAGCAAGCTTTTGTCAGGTCACCTAACAGGGCAAAGGAACTCTGTCGAACTTCTGGCATTTTATCCTACAAGAAATAAAAAGAAATTAACCTCAATGTGACAGAGATCTACGTTTCAACTAATTTTAATCTAACAAGTCTCACCTGCATGCATTGATACATTAGTGTTAGAATGTTACTTCGTGCTACCAGCTGTTCAATGTTGCCTCCCAGTCCTTCAGCCAGGCCACTGAGTAAATCCAGAGCCACTATCATAAAATCTTTGTCTGGAGCCTCGTATTGATCTGGTTGAGCATTGTTCAGCTGAAATTAGAGATTTTTTTTTGGAAAGGATACTTTAAACAAATACTGAAAAAAGTTTGTATACATTATATCTTTCTTTAGAAAAGTGTTTTTAATTCTAAGAACAGAAAGATATAAAAAAATAAAAATACCATGGCTTGTGCAAGAGTCTTCTGCACTAGGTTTACACAACGCTGATACACGGGTTCACAGTATGGAAGGAAGCCAGACTGCAGAGCTGTGGCAACTGAAGATAGGCACTAAAAAGAAAAAAGTACATGTGCTAAATCTTCTGGGTATACATAAAATTATGATACAACTTGAAATTGGACTCATTTAGATCGTGTCCATTTAGGAGCCTGCTCAACTCGTCTACAGAAGGTTTATCTTTGCAAACTTCTTTGGATTCCACTCATTGCTTGGAGTTTGCCAGGCAGTCAGGGAGACATTTACACAGATGAAAAGTAAAAGTGTTCCTATAACGAGCATTACCCTTAAAAGACAGACTTGAAGTATTATGTGTATTCCTATCTTTTCCTCAAATTTAAAAGATGTAGTCATTCGTATTCCATCCTGCTCAATGACGTAGGCATACTTTACTGGGCACATTCTCAGCCCGTCTGAAAACAATGCATCTAATGAGCCAGAGTGTTGGGCCTAGAATGAATCACTGCTGTTGGTCACCAAAGTTTTTTATTTCTTTGGCTAGGGACAATAGATGGCAGAAGTTGGTGACCCCTGAGATGACAAAGGGAACAAAAATGACGGTGACTGGACTGGTTCTACTAATGTCAATCTAACTAGGTGTTATTCATATACTTGAAGATCACGTAAGATGTCTTTTTGGTAGTATTATGTACACATGGAAAAACATGCAACTAGACTAGAGAGAAGGTATAAAGTAAAGCCTCTTTCCTAGCACCAAACCCTAACCATAATACAATTTAAATCATATATATTAATTATGCTATAGCAATATATCTATATAAATATTGTTGAATAGACAGACATACATGCTTATACAGAAAGCTCTGTAAGATATATTATTAATTAAGCAGAGTAAGCTAGGAAACAGCATGTATTTTATGATCCTTTGTCTAATTTTTTAAAAAGCTGAACATGTTCATCATGTTTCTCTATTTAACAGTTCTTTGTATAGATGTACCATTAATTAAAGTAATGAGAAACTCTGTATTTATTTAGCATTTCAATTGTTGTTATGTGCCATTGAGTGGGACCCTATTCACAGCAACCCCTCCGTGGGCTTCCAAGGTGGTATCACTACAAGAGTAGATCGCCCAACCTTCCTTCCGAGGAGTGGCTGGTGGGTTTGAACCACCAGCCTTCTGGTTAGCACTCAAGTGCCCTAGGTACTATGCTACCAGAGCTCCTAGCATTTCAATAGAAATGGTTTAACGCACAATTCCATTAATTTATTAACACTTTCTTCTCACATATTTTAGATCAGAATATAAATTTTTAGTGAAACACAGATTAAATGTTACCAGATTGGAAATACCTCAAGTAAAGGAAAGAGATCTTTATCTTCGTCCTTTAACATGTTCCATTTCTGGATCAGTGGAGGCATAAGCATCTGAATGTATTCCTATTTACGATGAAAAATACATAAAGCTTCACTATTACATATAAACAATACAAGTCTGAATCTATGAAAACTAAAACCAATTTACAGTAACAGTGTAAAATCACAATAGAATGATTTCACTAAGACTCATTCTTAGCTCTACTTTGTCCCTTTAAAAGGGTGGCTAGAGTCAGGAGAGACGTGACAGTACACAACAGTAACATAAAAATGTATGACTTGCTAAATCACAATCGAGGATGATTCCACTCCATTAAGACTTTTTTTTTTTTTTTAGTACACGTAATAATTAAGACTGCTGTCTGCAGTATTTTATACAGACATGTAAACTTACAGTGAAATACACTGTGAAATAAAACGGATAGTATTTGCAAACAAAGACATTGATCATCATTTAAATTCACTTAAATGATGGAATAATCCATAAAATCAAGTAAATAAGCACAGTCATCATTTAAACAAGCACAGATTTGAAGGATCTCATCTAAGTCCTTTAGAAAAGAAAGCAAAAAACCCAAGAACAAACCCAATAATAAAAATTCAATACCAAACAAACCTATAAACAAGCCTTAATTATAAAAAAAAAAAAAGTCCTTAGACTTTCGATATAAGAATCACATACATTAATGCTTCAGCATGGAATTCTGAGCTATTTAAAATTCTGTATTACTCAAATTTGATTTAAACAAATCCATCTTTTCTCCTACTCTTAGCCTTACTAGAGAAAGAGTTTGGGTACTCCCAACCAAACTTATTCTGGTCTACTACTTAGCATTTTGCAACTACTACCCCACTTTTTAATTATTTTATATTGTGTACTTTGCATGTCTGTTAAGTTCAGTGAGAAAACAACCGTAACTTTTAGAACGATGGTAGATACCAAGATGTTGTTGTTGTTATGTGCCGTCGAGTCAGACCTGACTCATAGCGACCCCTCCTTGGGTCTCTAAGGCAGTATCACTACAGAAGTAGATTGCCCAACCTTCCTTCTGAGGAGTGGCTGGTGGGTTTGAACCACCAGCCTTCTGGTTAGCAGTCAAGTGCCTTAGGCACTACACTACCAGCGCTCCCTGATACTTGGAACTAAATAAAAACAGAAACCAAGAGTTTAAAGACATTTTTTGCCCTTCGTCCTTTAGTCACTTTCATTTTCATAACAAGTGTTAATGTACTCATGAGATGCTGGTGTAACCTCCACACCAAACACTTCATTACTTTTTTAATATTATTCATGAAGGAGGATGAACTTGTCACCTCTGTATGATCTATATATATTCTTACAGCAGCAAGTACTAATCTTCCTCATCCTTAGAAATATTTTAGTTTTGAAGTATGTGTTAACCTACTGATGATACTATGCTACACATTGTATTTTCCTTGATAATCACAGATACTTACTGGTTTGTTTAAATGATGTCCTACTGAATCTGCTAATGTTCCTATGGCATCATAAAGAATGAGCAGGTTCTTATGCTGGTATTTACTAAATGCGAAGACCAGGGTATCAAGTATATAAGCAAGGTAAGGAACAAGTTCTGTACAAGCTTCCTCTTCAAGGGTAGCAAAGGCACTATAATTTGTGAAAAAGAGAATGAATACTTATTGTTGCATAAAAGAGATATAAAAGTTTAAGCACTTAGGATTAGCACTATCCCTCAAGTGTTTCTCTAAGCCTTACAATGCATTATTTCAAACTTGCCTTATGTATGTCTTGTCTATTAGGAGAAATGTATAAGAAAGGAAAAAACCCCAGAGTCTTAGTGCAATTATTTTCAATTTGAGACATAAATTTGTTTTGAGTATAATGTATATTCAGTTCTTAATTTCTAAAATATTTGTGTACCATCTGTTTTATTCAATCAGAAGTTTTCTACAATGATAGCCATAAACCATTTGTCAATGAAAACCTTATTCACTAGCACTATGAAATACACTATTTATTCATTTCCTTCATATAACTTGCCATGTCTTGTAATCAAAGCTGATTATTATTATTGGCAATAGTTACTTTTAGTAATACTTATAAAATATTGCAAGTAGTTACACTGTATAAAGAATCCACATTACCAAATACAGAACCAACTTTATTTGACCTCAGCTAGAAATTCTTCCAGGTCTGTACATGCACATGTCTGTCAAGGACCATGAGTATTTTTAGTGAATTTGTAAATACAGAATTAGCAAATGATGAGGATCAACTGGCCTTCTTTAAAAGGAGCCCTGATGGACAAAACAGTTAACTATTCAGCTCCTCAAACCTAGCAGTGGCTCTGTGAGAGAAAAGACCTGGTGATCTGCTCCTGTAAAGAGTATTATAGCCTTTGAAACCCTAAGGGCAGTTCTTCTGTCCTATAGTGTCACTACCATTCACAATCGACTCAATGGCATACAACAACTAGCCTGTAAGATCTAAGTTGGCAGAGAATATAACCTCAGCATCTAGTATTTACCTAACAATTAATAGAGGCTCAAAGATTTTACATACAGTAAAACTGTTCTAGCTAAACACAATGTGATAAAATACACTACTCTGCAAACCCAAGAGCAACCTTCAATCCCTCAAAAATCTCACCAAGATGGGGAATGAAATTTTCTGACATAGCTGGAAAACTTCAACACAAAACACTCCATTAACAGTATGATACCAACATCTGCCACAAGGTTGAAAATTAAGATTTCCACTGAATTACCTATTCCCTTCTTCCACAATGAACTTTCTATTATAGATCTGTCCTACCTGCAGGCAGCTTCTTGTACTCTCTTGTTGCTATCCAGGATACGTTTTAGCAATTCTGTCATTAATGGCTTCAGGTACGTGTCTGGGGGCTGGCTGACTACCCAGTGTGCATAGCGGCTAAGAGTCCAGCACGTAATGGAACGTACAAGAGCCTTTTTATCAGAGAGGCACTGAATTAGGTGAGGAATGAGCTCAGGCAGGTATGGAATCATGCCTTGCATGCAACCTGGAAAAAAAATGTAACAGAAACAATTCTTTCAAAAAGTGTTAAAATTTGGTTAAAACAAGATTCCAGTTGAATACTAAATTGACATATGCACCATGAAAAACATTCAGAGCATTTCCTTTGCAATAAAGATCACTGTAATAATCTGCCTCAAATTTATAAAATAACTGACATTATAGCTAATTGATTCTAGATATCTTCCAGTAAGGTAAGGGCTTCACTTTACCTATCACACAAATTTATGACTTTCAGTAATACTTGTAGTTAGTTTTTTAAGATATAAATATTTACAGGCAAAGATCAGTATTAATCCCTTATAGAGAAAGAAGACACTCTTATCTTATCATGTTTCCAAGACTTACCTAGAGAACATGAATTATTTTTCTAGCAACGGGGATGCTTTGGACATGAGAGTTCTCTTATTCTGTTCATTTTATTATAACAGAAAGCATTTGCAAAATATCTGGCTAGGGTTATGAGTCTGCCTACTGCTACTTAAGAATAGTTAACTAATTCAAAGCAGAAATTCATTCTAAGATCACTTTTGGATTCAAATATTTCTTATAAGGTTAATGTGAATCACAGTCTTGTCTACTCCACACCACCATCACAAAAAAGAAAGAAGTATGTGGATTCAATAATGAACAGTCTTCACTTAGACAGTAATCCCTTACAGCAGCCAAGCCTTATTAGTGACAAGTAAGGTCTTCATAATTCAAATCTGATGTAGACTTACCTTCAGCAATTGCTCCTAAAACCAAGATGCCAGATTCTTTAACAACCCATTCATGATGAAAAAGTAATTCTTTTAAAAGAGGCAAAATATGGGGCAAAAGTTCATCACGATACACATTTGCAAGTACATCTAGGGCAGCAGCAGAACATTTTCCTAAGGAAATATTCGAAAATATTACATTAACATTTACTATTATTTAGTTATATGTCCCCCAAACTGAGTGTTTATTGCATGTACCAAGCTTTATTCATTCATCTCTCTACAGAGTTTCAATGTAAAAATCAACAGGATAGCTCAGTATGTTCTGTTGGAAAGGGTCTTGAGTACCTCCTTATGTGTTACAAAACTATGGCTACTAACTTTGACTCTACTACTTTGCTCTGAGCACATAACAACCACTAAGTTTCTTTTCCTAGTAAACACGTGTTCATATATCTATCTATAAAAACGACCTACAAGGCATCTATGTCTGAGCATCACGAAGATTGAGTGATTCAAGTATGAAGAAAGCTTAGTATTCTGAAGGACACAAGATTCAAAATAAAAAATCAATCATAATCAAATATAATAGATATCCAAAACAAAAAACAATCCCACTGCCACTGAGTTGATTCCAACATTACTATAACAGTGTGATTTTAAAAATACGCAGTGCCTAAGGCACTTGACTGCTAACCAGAAGGCTGGTGGTTCAAACCTACTGCCACTCCTTGGAAAGAAGGTTGGGCAATCTACTTCCATAGTGATATCGCCTCGGAAACCCAAGGAGGGGTTGCTATGAGTTAGGTCCAACTCAACAGCACATAACAACAACAACAACAACAAGGTGCAATTATTGGACTCTCCCTGTTCAGAGCAAAAAGAATGAAGAAAATAAAAAACACATGGAAACAATTAGTCCAAAGGACTAGCGGACCTCAGGTTCCATGACTCCAATACCAGAAAAACAAGATGGTGCCCAGCTATGACTGCTTACCCACTCTGAAAGGATTACAATAGAAGGTCTGGGACAAAGTGGAAGAAACACATGGAGAAAAATCATGAAACAGACCTGGCTCACTGGTCTGATGAAGACTGGGGCAGAGGTCAGGCAGAGAAGGGGGAATTCCCAAGACGATAGCCCTTAGACACACTGCAAGTCTGGAACTGAAATCACCCCTGTGGCTCAACTTTCAGTCTAACAATACCTATAAGGTGAACAATACCTGAGAGGTATGTATTCCTTAGAACAATCAAGCAAATGAGATCAAAAGGGCAGCATTTGTCCAGGGATAAAACGCAGAAGGCAAGAAGGGATAGGAAAGAAGGACAAACGGAAATGGTAAACACAGGGAGGAAGTAGGAAAACTTTTGTTAACACTGTGGAGACTTGCACTCAATGTCACGAAACATAACGGGTGAATAGTTGAATGAAAAACCAATTTTCCTCTGTAAACTTTCACTTAAATCACAATAAAAAGTTAAGGAGGGAGGAGCAATGCCTGTCCTATCCCATCTACCATAAACAGTTACAGAGATAATTGCCAAAATTATGGCTACTATGCTAGTAATAAACAAGATCATTTCTGGTAGTCCAAAGATGATGCTTTATAAGGTAGCCATAATTGTTAAAGAAGAGTAATAGTAATTGTTGGTTAAGAAGTCAACAAAACTTTTCTCTTTCATGAGAATTTAACTTCTATTAACTAGCTCTATTTTTTCTGGAAACCTGGATAAAGATGGTACATGTTAGTTATACTACTAAGCAACAATTTATGATAAAACTACTTGTGCTTGACATATAACATCTAGATTGAGAATTCTACGTCTGAACTTTAAATATCTGATGAGATAACCATACTGGGCTTCCCTGAGTACAGGGACTGCTGTAATTGGGTATGCCTCCTGCAGGGCCCCTGTAAGCTATGACTATAAAAGTTGGCTCCTATGAGATGTGATGCTGTTAAGTCAAGGCAGCTCCCCTACTGGCACAATGTCATCTTGATACTAAAGAACCTAAGTCACCAGACTACCTATATGAACGATTGTGGGGACAGTTGTAAGGGCTCCTTCAGAAGAAAAGGGTCCAATGCTGTCCAAATAGTAAGATGTGATTTCTATCCTATATACTTCTGAGCACAACAGTGACAAATTCAGCCTTTGATAGTCTTGAGTCTAAATGTTTAGTGGTTCTGATAATGTGGTTCACAGATGGCTCCTGGGCACTGTACAAGACTCAGGGGGTCAAGAAGGCCAAAATTACTTCAATGACGCTAAGATGTTATTTGTCTTCTTCACCATGACAACTTTTGACTAATAGTATAATACCCACCGTGGGTAAAACTGCTGGTGCCTTAGCACAAATAAGGCAGGGCAACCCAATTATACCAGTCATTGCATTCTTCACTACCACATGTCCATATTTTTTTTTTTAAAAAGCTTATTTCACTTAAGAATGCCCTTGATGAAGCAGTTAAAAAAAAAAAAAAAAAAGAGCTTTTATTTAATATCTAAACCAAAAGAAAAAATAAACAAAACCCCAAAACAACAAAAATACCAAATACCACTGCCATCAAGTTGATTTGACTCATAGCAACCTTGCCTTGGGTGGATTCCAAGGCAGTATCTTTACGGAAGTAGATTGCCCAATCTTCCTTCAATCAACCTTCTGGTTGGCAGTCAAATGCCCGAGGCACTATGCCACCAGATCTCCATAAGGAAATGTCTTTTTAGTATGGTAATACAAAATGGGAAATATATATAAAGTACTTTTATCACAGAAGTATGATGGTTATCTTCAGGAAAAGCACCATTTTGAGCTGCAAGCTGAACTTGCTGCTTTCTTCTAGGAAAACTATTTTCACGTGCATGAACCACTGACATATAGCTATAGTTACCCAGACTTGGGAAACTGAAAAAGAAGGAAGTGGGCCTGCTATTTCAAGAAAAATATCTGACATTATTGACCATCAATGATAAATTCAAACTGTTAAAAAGTAAAAATCATAATTTTGGAAAACTGGTATCTGCCACTATAAACCTGACAGCTTCTCAATAATCTTCTAATGACAAGTGGTGATAATAACAAATATGATTTTTTTTCATATTGTAAAATGAAATGTGTCAAGGTTTGAAAGAACTGTTTAACTCAGTGAATCAATATTTTCCAAATGACCAAAATGCATGATGATATATAATCATTCAAGTGTTAAAAAATAAAATCCATTCAAAAGGGAATACAAATGGATTTTAATTTAAGAGAGTACAAAAAGTCCACTGAGTGGCTTGGGACCTAGTTTTTAATGATGGCTTATCAAATGTAACAAAAGCACGAGCAGCAAAAACCAAAATAGATAAAAAGGTATTTCATAAAAATTTAAATGTTTGTGTTCATCAAAGGACTGTATTGGCAAAGTGAAAAGACAACCTACAGACTGGGAGAAAATTTTTAGGAACTCTATACAGATAAGGGTCTAATATAAAAAATATACAAAATACTTATACAATTAAATAGGATAAAGACAAACAATCCAATCAAGAAAAACTGGCAAAGGACTTGAACAGACATTTCACCAAAGGATATTTAAATGGTCAGCAAGTATATGAAAAGATGCTCAACATCATTAGCCATCAGAGAGAGACAAATTAAAGCAACAGTGAACTGTCACCTCACCCCTAATAGAAAGGCAATAATAAAAACAAACACACACAAAAGAAAGAAAATAACAGATGCTCATAAAGTTGTGGAGAAACTGGAAACCATTCATTACTGGTGAGAGTGTAAAATGGTACTGCCAGGATGGTGGAAATTTCCTCAAAAAGTTGAACATAAAATTATCATACAACTGGGCAATCTAAGAAAATTCCCATGATGGGTGCGGAAGTAATTTTAATGTATGTTTTAGAAAAATAAAAAATATTAGAGTAGCATGTCAAACCTATGATTTTCACTGCAAGTACTGCTTGAGATGTGGCTGAGAGAGAGAAAAAAAAAAAATCAAAGAAAATTCCTAAAGAATACATGAATATGAAAAAAGTATGAAAATGATACATGACTGCCAAAATAGAATTGTTTATATAGAAAAAAATAAAACAAGTATTGTTCCAATGTCTGTAGAATATGAGGGCCACTGTTAAAATTGCATAGCAAAATATGCACACTTACGATTTTTACTTGACATTTCTAGTAATAGTTCATTTATAATCAAGTATGTAACAATTTAGTCAGATATTATGCAAATAAACTGGAACAAATCACCAGTACATTATGCATAAAACATACACAAAATATTCTTTAGAAAGACTATACACAAATTCAGATTTTATTTAACGTAATTTAGAAAGTAACAAAAAAAAGAAAGTAATTTTAAGTACTAATATTCTTCCCAATGTTAATCAGGCATACCAAATGGTTAATAAACTGTTAGACAATGGTAAAACCTAAAAACAAACAAACAAAACTTACCTATCAGAGGATTTTCTTATCAGTCACTACAATTAAATATTACATTGCCATGAGACAATGAAACCTACGGCTCTGGTGGGTTAGCGGTTAAGGTATTTTGGCTGTCATCCACCAGTGGTGGTTCAAATCCACCAGCTGCTCCGCGGAATAAAATAAGGCGGTCTGCTTCCACAGAGATTTATAGCCTTAGAAACCCAACACGGGTTGCCATGAGTCGAACTGACTTGATGGCATGAGTTTGGCTTTTTGAAATGACATATGGAAAAGAATCTTAACACTAATATAATTTAATTCCATTTTTGTAATTTCAGCATCCTATCCAAAAAAGATAAAACATTTGTATTTCTATACATGTACAGATCAACTTATGGCAGGATATAAAGATGAGTGGGATGTAAAGAGAAAGTGTTTTTTTCAGAATGTGTAAATACTACACTTAGAGTGCACCTGCAATACCATCTTAATCCATCCTGCCTCCCACCCTGAAAGTAGGGATACAATGGGAGGTAATCTGTGACAGACCTTAGGTTCTCTTGTACATCAGACTTAGGTTCCAATACTAGATGTACCATCAGTACTAGCTATACTAACCTTGGGTACGTTTTTCTTCCTGTAGTTTTCTTATCCACCTTAGGCTGTGGAAAGATTAAATGAGAAAATGCATGCAAAGTCCTTGGCCTAGTGCTTGGTATACTAGGCACTCTAAATAAATGACTGTTACAAGGAAACTAAATGGGTAACAGGGAAATGAGCATTATCTAACCAAATGAATTACACAGCCCACAGTGATGATGCATTAATTCCATCAGTTATTAGAAATACCAACACTCTTTGAACCAGAGGAGTGGTTCTCAACTGCAGACAATTTCGTTCCCCAGCGGACATTTGGCAATGTATAGAGACATTTTTGGTGTCAGAACTGTGTGTGTGTTGTGGGCTGCTACTGGTATCTACTAGGCAGAAGCCAGGGATGCAACTCAACAGCCTAGAACACAGAGACCTCCCTACAAAGAATTATCTGACTCAAAGTGCCAATAGAATGTCAAGGCTGAGGAGCCATTAACTGGAGCAGTGTAGCTTTTAAAAGAAGCAAGCAAGCAGAAACACAACACAGATGCTGAGGTTCTTCCCAAGAGTTATTTAGAATGCTGGCTCCACAGGTGACAGCTGACTGTTAGTGTTCACTCTTAAAGATGAACACTAACAGAAATTTTAAAAAGCCTATTTTTAAAATTTTTAATATAGTGACCCACTATTATGCATATATTCTAGAAAAATAAAAATTATAACATGAACAAATATATGCATACCATGTTCATCACTATACACAACAGTAAAAAGATGGAAACAACCTAAGTGCCCACCAACAGATGAAGAAATAATCAAACTGTGGTACATACACCCAATGGAATACTATGCAATGTTAAAGAACAATGATGAATCTACAAAACACTTCATACTAGTGTAGATGAAGCTAGGGAGCACCATGTTGAGTGAAATTAGTCAATCACAAAAGATAATTACTGTATGAGACAGCTATTGTAAAAAGTCAAGAAAAGGTTTACACATGGAAAGAATTGTACTTTGACGTTTCCCAGGGGTGGGAGGGACAGTCATCAACTAAAGGGCAGGGATGTATTAATGTGGGTCAAGGGAAAGACAATACACAGTAAGGGGGAGGGCAGCACAAAATAAATCAAGGCAGTGGAAAACATAGCAGAAGCGGAAGAGTTACAGGCAACAAAGATGAATAGTTTACATTCACAATCCTGCAAAAATGGCAATAACGTTAATTTACAAGTGGATGAATAGACAGACATTCAAGCTGAACAGAGGTGGGGAGGCGACTGGGACTACACCCACAAATATACACATACAGGTTTGACAGTCTATCTCTACCTTTGTATGTGTTGCAAATATATCCATGAACATAGTAGAGCACAAACGAGACAAAGTAATGAAAATGTCTTAGCCATAACCAAATAACTTGAGGCTCAGGACCACAGTCTCAGGGACAACTGACACAACACAGTTCACAAAGACAATGCTCTACATCCTACTTTGGTGACCAATGACTGGGGTCTTAAAAGCTTGTGAGCAGCCATTTAAGGTGCAACTATTGGTCTTTCCCTGTCCAAAGCAAAGAATGAAAAAACCAAAGACACAGAAAAGTTAGTACAAAGGACTAATGGAGCACATGAACCCCAGTCACCACAAACATGAGACCAGAAAAACTAGATGGTGCCCAGCTATCACTGCTGACCACTCTGAAAAGGATCATAGTAAGCAGTCCTGGATAGAGTGGGGGAAAATGTGGAACAAAACTCAAAATTACAAAAAAGATCAGGCTTACTGGTCTGATGAAGACTGGTAGAATCCCCAAAACTATGGCCCTTAGACACCCTTCAAGCTAGAAACTTAACTCCTGTGACTCAACTGGCAGCCAAATGATAGACAGGTTTATAAGATGATCAGCACTATCTGGTGGGTATGCGCTTATTAGAACAATTGCACATCTGAGATAGAGAGGACAGCATTTGTCCAGGAATAGAGCTAGGAAGGCAGGAAGGGATGGGAGGAAGAACTAAGGGAAGGGGTGGGCACAGGGAGGAAGTGGGAAGAATGTTGCTACAGTGTGGGAATTGCAGTAAATGTCACAAAACAAAAAGTGTATGGATTGCTGAATGGAAAACCATTTTACTTTGTAAATGTTCCCCTAAACCACCATTTTTTTTAAAAAAAGGGAATATAGTTATATATTCAAATTAATTTATGCTATTTTTAGAATTATCCATGATAACTAGCCAATTCTTATGCAAATTGTCACAGAAAATTAGTTTATGCTAGCTTATTGCCAATATTCCTATTTTATAGTACCAAATAAAATACAAAACCTTTTGAGCAATGAGTTTTTAGAGTTCTAATTAAGGAATGTAACAACAATTAAATATAAGAGCAGGCCCAACAAGGAAATGCAAATCAAAACCATAATGAGATACCACTTCACAACCACTAGATCTATGGCTATAACAATTAATTAAAAAAGAAAAAAAACCCATAACAACAAGTATTGGTGAGCATATAGCAGAAAATGGAACCCTTCATACACTGCTGGTCGCAATTTGAAATAGCTTGGCAATCCCTCAAAAGACTAAACATAGAATTAACACATCACTCAGTAATTTCACTCCTAGATATATATTCAAGAGAAATAAAAACATATGTCTACACAAAAACTTGTATATGAAGGCTCGTAGTAGCATTACTTGTAATAGTCAAAAAGGGCAAACCACCCCAAATGTCTACCAACTGATGAAAGAAAACAAAATGTAGTATATCCAAAATAGAAGTGACTTATTTTGCAATAAAAAGGAATAAAGTATTGATATAGGATATAATTCTAAGTGAAAAGAATCTAATAACATATTGCATGACTCCATTTCCATGAAAGGTGTAAAATAGGCAAATCTATAGAGAAAGTAGACTTGCCCGGGGTTTAGGAGAAAATGGGGAGTGACTGCTAACAGACACAAGATTTCTTTTTCAGATGATGAAAATGTTCTGAATTGACTGTGGTGATGGCTGCGTATGTGAATTATACCTCAATAAAAATGCTAGTAAAGCAGGCAACTATAGTTGTGCCTCTCACTTACTTAGATTCCAGTCAGAAATAGTGTCGTCGTCATCAATTTCATCATCATCATCATCTTCCTCTTCAATCCCATCTTCATCATGCTGCTGAGCCACTGTCCTTGATCGATGAAAACGTGGCCTTATATCTTGTTCACTATCAGGAATCGTCTCATCTTCTTCAACATCACCCTTTTTAAAAAGGAAATTTTTGGTGACATTCATTATAAGCTAATAACATGTATGAAATAATCAAGAGAATATCCAGAGAAATAGTCATGCACAGTTTGAAATTTGAGAGGATCCTGGAACATACTTTCTAATTAAGAAGTACTCTTCTGTGCAGATAATTTACCTCTGTGGTGGGGAGAATAGACTAATAGACAGCAACTATTAAGTATCAGGGACTTTCAGCTACATTATATTGTCTCTCATCAGCTGGCATAACTTACTTTACCTGAGTTAAATTCATACCAGCATATTTAACAAGTCTTATTTTTTAAAATACCTACCAAGTAATTTAGGTTAAATTTAAAGCAACAGGAAATCAGTGATAAATAAATTAGCATAAGCATCTAGTTCCAGTTAAGCTAGACTCCATCACCACCAAAATTTATTATGATGTTTGCTTTAACTTTGAATTTTTGTAGTATGTAACAGTTGGACTAAATGCTCTACTGGCCAAATTCACAGACTGACTATGCCAACAGAAAAAGCATTTCCTTACGTATCAGTAAAGTTTACTTACCTTCAGCAGGATAATATCGATATCTGAGTACTTCATGCCATTCACCAACACAGGAATCAATCTATAAAAAATAAATTCATTAAACAAAAATCTAAAGATCTCAACAGAAAATTAAGAAGCCCCAACATAGTAACTTATAACCCTAAATACACAAGTAACATCATGAGACAATCATTGGTAATACGTTCTTAGATCCTATCCAGTGTTATGATTATTCCTGAAACACTTCTTGTGCCTTCTACCTTGTTTAACTGAGCTTAGTCTTGCTGTACTTTTTTAAAATTAAAGTTTTGTAGCAACTCGGCAGTGAGCAAGTCTGTTGGCACCATTTTTGCAACAGCCTGTACTCACTTCGTGTCTGTGTCACATTTTGGTAGCTCTCACAGTATTTCAAACATTTTCATTATTATTATATATATCTGTTAAGGTGATCTGTGATCTTTTGATGTTACTATTATAATTGTTTTTGGGCACCACAAACTGTGTCCATGTAAGATGGTGAACTTAATAAATGTGTGTGTTCTGACTGCTCTACTGACTGGCTGTTACCCTTCTCTTTCACATCTCTTAAGGCCTCCCTATTCTCTGAGACATGACAATATTAAAATTAGGCCAATTAATAATCCTACAGTGGCCTCTAAGTATTCAAGTGAAAGGAAGATTTGTAAGTCTCTCATTTTAAATCAAAATCTAGAAATGATTAAGCTTAATGAGGAAGGCAAGTAGAAAGCTGAGATAGGTTGAAAGCTTGGCTTCTTGCACTAAACAGCCCAGCTATGAAGGAAATATTAAGTGCTGCTCCAGCGAACACATGAGCGATCAGAAAGCGAAAACACCCTTATTGCTGATACTGAGAAAGTTTTAGTGGTCTCCACAGAAGCCGAAACATTCCCTTAAGCCAAAGCCTAACCCAGAGCAAGGCCCTCATTCTCTTCAATTCTATGAGGGCTGAGAAAAGTGAGGAGGCTGCAGAAGAAAAATCTGAAGCTAGCAGCAGAAGTTGGCTCATGAGGTTTAAGGAAAGAAGTCATCATATACGTGAAAGTGTAAGGTGAAACACCAAGTGATAACGCAGAAGCAAGTTATTTGGAGAATCTAGCTAAGACAACTGATGAAAGAGACTACACTAAACAACAGATTTTCAATGCAGACAAAACAGCCTTATATTAAAAGAAGATGCCACCTAGAGAGGAAAAGTCAATGCCTAGCTTCAAAACTTCAGAGGGCAGGCTGACTCTCTTATTAAGAGCTAAAGCAGTTGGTGGCTTTAAGTTGAAGTCAATGCTAATTTACCATTCTGAAAATCCTAGGGCCCTTAAGAATTATTATGCTAAATTTACTCTCCACCTGTGCTCCATAAATGGAACAACAAAGCCTAGATGACAACCTATCTGTTTACAACATGGTATACTGAATATTTTAAGCTTACTCTCAAGACCTACTGCTCAGAAAAAAGCTTCCTTTCAAAATATTACTACTGATTATGCACCTGGTCACCCAAGAACTCTGAGGGAAATATATAATGAGATTTATGTTGTTTTCATGTCTGCTAACACACTGCTGTCCGTTCTATAGTCCATGGATCAAGGAGTATTTTCTACTTTCAAGTCCTATTATTTAATAAATATATTTTGTAATATTATAGCTGCCATAGATAGTGTTTCCTCTGATAGATCTGGGCAAAGTAAATTGAAAACCTGTGTAAAGGATTCACCACATTCCAGATGCCATTAAGAATATCTGTGATTCACAGGAGGTGGTCAAAACATCAACACTAGCAAGAGTTTGGAAAAAGTTGATTCTAATCCTCCAGGATGACTTTGAGGGGTTCAAGACTTCAGTGGAGGATATAACTGAAGATATGGTGGAAGCAGGAAGAAAACTGGAAGTATGCCTGAAAATATGACTGAATTGCTGTAATCTCATGATAAAAGTTTAAAAGATGAGGAATTGCTTCTTATGGATAAGCAAAGAAAGTGGTTTCTTCAGATGGAATCTACTCCTATTGAAAATTCTGTGAACATTACTGAAATGACAAAAGGTTCAGAACATTACATAAACTTAAATGGCAAAACAGCAGTAGGATTTGGGAAGATTAGCTCCAATATTGAAAGAAGTTCTACTGTGGTTAAAATGTTACCAACAGTATCATATACGACAGGAAAATCTCTTGTGAAAAGAAAAATCAGTCGATGTGGCAGACTTCACTGTTGTCTTATGATGGTATTTTTTAAAAATAAAGGTTATTTTAAAATTAAGACATGTTAATTTTTTTTTAAATGGAGTTCTGGTGGCAGAGTGCCTCCGGCATTTGACTGCTAACTAGAAGGCTGGTGGTTCAAACCCACCAGCCACTCCTGGGAAGGAAGACCGGGCAATCACTCTACTTCTGTAGATTACGTAGAGATACCACCTCGGAAACCCAAGGAGGGGTCGCTATGAGTTGGAACCAACTTGACGGCACTGAGTTTGGTTTTTGGTTTAATTGTTTTTTTGGGCATAGTGCTGTCTGCACACTTAATAGACCAAAACAAATCCACTGCTGTCGAGTCATTCTCAATCATAGCGACCCCTCCTTGGGTTTCCGAGGTGGTATCACTACAGAAGCAGATTGCCCAATCTTCCTTCTGAAGAGTGGCTGGTGAGTTTGAACTACAAGCCTTCTAGCTACTAGCAGTCAAATGCCTTAGGCACTATGCCACCAGATCTTCCTAATAGACCATAGTATAATGTAAACATAACTTTTATATGCACCGGGAAACAAATAAACAAAAAATCATGACTCGCTTTATTTTGGTGGTCTGGAATGAGTAGTATCTCTGAGGCACACACTCATAGAACTCACTATTTGGAATCTTAGCAGGGATACAGTTGTCTGTCAGTGTAAAAAGAAAATAAGCAATTTCTTCCCTAAGAATTTATCCCAAATACAGCGTCGAGTCGGACCCGACTCATAGCGACCCCTCCTTGGGTTTCTGAGGCGGCATCACTACAGAAGTAGATTGCCCAACCTTCCTTCCGAGGAGTGGCTGGTGGGTTTGAACCACCAGCCTTCTGGTTAGCAGTCAAGTGCCTTAGATACGTATTACACTACCAGAGCTCCAGAAAGAGACGGCCTGACTACCTGGCAGGGAGTGGCTGATGGATTTGAACTGCCAGCCTGGGGTGTGGCAGGTGACTGTCTTAGGCCTGAGGCCATCCCCTAGGGCCCCAAATATACTAAATACCCATTTTTAAAGACTGATGTTTCCTTGACATGCACGTGTCCCTACTTTTCTAAAGTTCATTTTACATCACTTTGCTTTCTGAAGACCTACATGAGTTCCTGTTTTTGCCAACCAAAAAATAATCCAAAGAGGATTTCCATGTTTACAAAAAAAGGCAAAAAGTGAAACTAGTATTCAGCGAAACTAGTCCTGTAATGAGTTATCAAGAGGCATCACACACTCCAAGTAGCAAGAGTGGCATCACCATGCGCCTCCTCCAGGAACTACATTCAGCTTCTCAGCATCAAGCCATCATAGCTTTGAACTGTGTCTATGAACACTACATATTACTGTTACATTAGGTTTTATGCATTATTTGGTAGGTTAGTTTTTGGCTCTGGGAATACTAAGGAATTTTACCCATATAAGTAATGATAATTGCTTCTTTGTTTACACCATGTCAGCCTATGAAAGGTTTCCTAGGAATACTCTACTTTTGTTTAGCATGGGAACTTGTAACAGGAAAAATGTAAAAATGTAAATGTTCATCATTTAAGGCTAAAAATAAATAATATTTAAGAAAAAACTCTGGTGTAAAATATATACAGCACATTTCCATTTGGATTACAATGAGATTATCCATATAATTACTTATACACAAAGACTATTTAGAAGGCTATATGAGAAACTTATCTATGGAGAGAGGAGACAAAAGTTATCTTTTATTTTTAAATGGTGTAACATTTTGACAATGAGTCTATATTCAGCATCTATATTTCTTTTCTAATAATTAAAAAAAGTCACCAGGTTTAAAGTATATAAACAGAAATTGAAGGAATTTATCCAAAAGAAACAATGCAAAAAAGGAAAAAGAACTCTAGTAACAAAGTTATAAGAACATTTTAACTTTTTAATTAATTAACAACCTAAATTTCTGATAATAGTTGAATCAAGATATCCTGCCTACCCTGTACCATTATGTAGTCATTAAAACAACCATGGTGTCTGCAGATATGGAATTCCAAGTACACACGGAATATTTACAATGTCTAGTTTTTTTTAAAAAATATGTATGAAAACACTTCAGTAGAAGTCAAAACATTAACTTAAAGTTTCTTGTAGATACCAAAGATTTAAGCTTTGATGGTATGTTTTTCACTGGTCTACCACACAAATCAGAAAAGATTCTTAAGAGGATAAAAGGTATAAGACTTCTTTGTAAGCATACTCAGCAACAAAGTCAAGAGTGCCTGCTTCCAAATTTTAGCCTTAATCTTCCCCAACCCCGCTGTTCTGGGTGGCTTGGAAAAAGAGAACACACAAAAGGATTTCATACTGAGTGCCAGCTGTGGGCTTATTAAGAAGTACCTTCCTTATAAGCTAGTGAGGAAGGTGTTACAATGCCCATTTTACAGATGTATAAACTAAAGCTCAGAGAGGCTATGTTATCTGGTCAAGGTCATAAGGAAGTTTTAAGTAAACAGGACAGTGAGGATTCAAAACAAATTTGGTTAAACACCACAGATGGTTCCCTTTTCCTTACACCAGATCTAAGAAATCCTGTTCTCCACATTAATGTCCTTAGTCTTTATGAAGACTTTACTTCAAAGTTATATACTGTAATGTCAATTAACAAACAAATGTATGACACCAACTTTGAGCAAAATCCTAAGATCAATGAAATATTTTCCAAGCCTTCATTGACTAAGGGAACAGTAATAAAGAAAAGCTTAAGTAATGGAATTTAAAATTCCCTGGATAGGTTTAAAGATGTGTCCCAGTCAAATTTTCATGCTCAAAGCCCTTCTAAATTTAAAATAAAAAGATTAATAGTAAATAAACATAACTAGCATGT